TTGTGGGTGGTTAAAAATTGTGGATAAAAAAGGTGGTGATCAACTTTTTGCAGTAATCCATAAACTAATAGTACTTATATGCCAGAATGAATTGGTATCAGAAGAGTGGCTAAATGAAATAATATGCATTGCATAAAAGGGGTGATCAACTGGATTGAAAGAACTATAGAGGCATTACTCTGTTAGCAGCTGCGTATAACATCTTCGGCAATGTATTGTTTGAAAGACTTTTAACATTTTACAAAGGATATGTTGGTCAATATCAATACGGATTTACTGCTGCAAAATCAACTATACATCAAACTCAAGCACATGGGCAGATTCTATAAAAGTCACTAGAATATAACATAGATACACACTATCTCTTCTTCGACTTCAAAGCAGCCTATGACAGTGTTAAAAGGACTGCATTATATAATGTAATGATAGACTTTGGTTGGGATCCCACCGAAGTTAGTTAAGTTGACCCAACTAACAATGCAAAATGTAAGCTCGGGCGTTAGAATTGAAGGAGAAAACTCTATGTGCTTTGACATTAATGATGGTCTAAGAAATGGGGAGGCGCTGGCGTGTCTCCTCTTTAATGTTGCTTTCAAAAAGTTAACCAGAAAATTGAATATTAGAATGAATGTAACTATTTTTAATAGAACCATGAGAGACAGGTGTAGTGTTTTACAAGGCTTGTGGATGCGGTAGGTGAATTAGGACTATTGGTAAACGTATGGTAAATCTAATAGCCATCTTCATATATTTGGAAACTATTCGAATTTCACAGATTATTTTTGTCACAGAAAATCATCAGAAACAGATTATACAATACCAATGAAAGAACGCAGCCTCTTGAAAGATATTATCTCATGTGCAGTAAGAGTAAAATTTCATGCAAATAGTCTTATAAATAATGTGAGTACCAATTATGTCAAAAATAGATTTTTGGAAGAAAATTATTTTTTCCCGAATTGTTTAAACACACTAGACGATTATTAATTAATATATAAACAAATTACATATTTATAATATACGTAGAAATTACATCATCATCATCATCATCCAGCCGAATTTTCACATCCATTGTTGGATATAGGCCTCCTCCAAACGTCTCCAGTTCTCTCTATCTCTAGCTGCTGCAATCCAGTTTGTTTCTATTCTCAGATTCTCAGAAATTACATACAAATTAAAAAATAATGATCAAAATCCATTGAGTAGATCCGGAGATACAAAAAATTTTATTAGTTTGAAATTGTTTGGTATTTAAACTCCATGGATTTGTAGGTTCTTCCTAGTCACCATTTGAACTACATTTTTGAAAATTCATAGAAGGTCCTGTAAAAGTACAATGTTTGTGCAAATTTTTTAACAAAAAATACAAATCCCATTCTTTAACATGGCGTCAATGAGGTTCCTTAATTATTATCATCAAATTAGCTGTGAATTAACAAAAAAACATGGCTAGCTTTGGCCCAAATTAACCTAGGTCAAATTTTTTTATTGCAACAACATTCAAAGCAACAAACTGACCTTTCAACTTACAAAAATCGGCATTTTGAAGCTTTGTCAATATTCTAAAAAATAAAATTGTGTAATTTTATGTTAAGTATTTAGCTTTCTAATTTAGTCCAAACATCGGAAAAATCGCGTTTTTTGCATTAAATTGTTAATCATTACAAAACGCCTCCGAACTTTAGGCAGGAAACAGGTAGGTTTTCTTCTTATAGGTCTACAATAACTAAAAAAGTTGTCAGCTACCTGGATTATTGAGTGTCACGGGAAAATCCTTATTACCCTGGACCATGGACGTATAAATAAAGATCTTTATTTATACGTCCATTCCCTGAACTAATATGACTGGACAAGCAAGTGACGAAACAAACTTCATATATTATGTAAACTTTACTAACAAAAACGTTCAAAAATAATATTCCAATAAATATAAATAATCAAATTCCATATTCAAATACTGCAAAATATTTGGGTATTGTCCAACAAATATAAATAATCAAATTCCATATTCAAATACTACTAAATATTGGGGTATTACTCTGAGCTCATGTAAAGAAGAAAAGAAAATAATATTTCTGTATTGGCACAATGGTTTTGATTTGTGTCTTTTATTTTCTGTTTCTATCTCGTTATAATTTCATCTACCTATTTTTTTTTCGATTTAAACTATCTAATAGTCGGTCAGATAGCCAAGCGGGCTGGGCAGCCGGTTCCTTACTAGCTTCACTGCTACTGGTTCAGAGGAAGCGAGTTCGATCCCCAGCTCGGTGTACAGAAAACAAAAAGTCTAACGCAGCAGTTTAAAATTCTAAACATAAATCTGCGGCTTAGACACTAGAATAGGCTGGTGACTGCTCGGCCTATGATGGAGCAGTACGGCAAGAGATAAGGACTTGCGGCTCGGTGATACTTCTCCATAGATCCCTACCGGAAGGGAGTGTGCCGCCTAAATACCTGGTATATATATATATATATATATATATATATATATATATATATATATATATATATATAACTATCTAATATATTTAGTATGAAAAATGTGGGTTTGTGTTTGCAACTCTGTTAATTTTAATTAGCGTATAGACATGCGCACAACCACACACAGGTAATAATGATGGTGAAAAAGAAGTTAAAATTACGTGCAGTAGCTTTAATTGTAGTAATGATGCTTAAGACAAAAAATAATAAATTTTAAACAAAGTTTATTATTTTTTTAAATATTAAACTTGTAAAAGTATGTGGAGTAAAAAATGGATCAAGAGAAGAAGAGGGTTATGCAAAGGAATGGATATTGAATGAAGCATTCAGAAGATCCTTTGGCATATAAAATCTTTTTATGAATGAATAATTTGTTTAAAATATTGTTAAAACTAGTTGAGAATAACCCCACTTTTAGTTAATATTTTATCATTTTTAATACAAGAAATTAAAACAAGCTATAAGTTTTAGTACTCAATCGACGCGCGCATATAATTTGTAGGTACAATATTTTTAGTACTAAATTTAGTACTGAATTAGCATAATGGCAAGCAGACCTTACATGGGTCATGGGTTCACGATTTTAATAGAATGATATTAGATGACAAAGCAACACATAAAAATATACGCAATACGCATGTACGTATGTACACAGAAAATGCAATTGCGTCAAAACTGAAAAATTGACAAATAAAACTGATTGTTTGCGCCGTGAATATAAATTATTTTATGATCTCGTTGTTACTTAAAATGAAAAAATTTGCATTAAAAAGAGATTACTCGAATCAGTTGTACCTTGTACCTAATTCTATATTTATCCGTTTTTACCTTTATATCCTAACTTTTTTAAGATATATTAGGAATGTGATAAAATGATTGTAATTGAAATTTTAATCTCATCATTTTAATCTTATCAATAAGTGTTTCCAATTATACTTATTTGATGAAGATTATTTAAAATATGGACCACACATAGAATCGTCTATTCAAATTAGTATAACTTTTAATAGTTGAAAGTATAAATAGATTTCAAATTACTTTAACTTTTTTCGTTATTTTTGCTCCAACCCTTTCTATATTGTTAAACGTAAATATTTTTTACACCCATGACGCATGGTTTTCCACCATGGACAGTGTCCATGTCTCTGATTCATATGCAAGGACGGTTTTATCAGGATTTTGTATATTTTGCATTTGGTTTTTCTTGTGGTGTTGTTAGATCTTAGATGTTTAATTAGTCCATTATATGTTTTATTAGCGATATGTATTCTTCTCTTAACTTCTTCACTGACATTGTTATCTGCGGTAACGAGTGAACCTAGATATGTAAAATTTTTCACGCTTTTGATGTTTTAGTCTCCTATTGTCAAATTCTGTATTTAGTGCGTTTTGAATTCCAATTTTGCTTTGTACTTTAAGTGTTTCTGTTACTATATCAATGAGTTAAGTTAGAATATTAAACTGTTTCAGTGCATGGATTAGAAATTCTCGATGAATACTATCATAGGCACTCTGAAAATCAAAGAAAAGATGATGTGTGTCTATATTAAATTCAATAAGGAAGCCAAAACAACAATTAAAGTATATAAAGGAACAAAATCAATACAAATAAATAGAGGCGTGAGACAGGTTGACACAATATCACCGAAACTTTTCAATCAGGCTCTTAAAGATACTTTTAAAAATTAGAATGGGAAGAAAAAGGTATAAAAATTTGTGGACAACGCTTGAACCATCTAAGGTACGCTGATGACATGGGATTGATAACCAATAAAAAAAGAAGAATTATTTGAAATGATAAAAGAACTGGATGTAGAAGCTGGAAAGATAGGCCTTAATATGAATTACAGGAAGACCAAAACCATAACAAATACAGATGAAGACATCACAATGAGAATCGGGCAAGATGAAATAGAACAAGTTCAGGATTATATATATCTGGGTCAAACTATAAAACTTAACAAAGAGAACCAAACAGCAGAGATAAAAAGACGAGTTAGACTGGCATGGGCGGCATTTGGCAAACTAAGCTACATTCTTAAAAACAAAAGATATCCACAGCATCTTAAGACCAAAGTATACAATCAATGCGTACTCCCTGTTCTTACTTATGGTTCCCAAATGTGGACATTTACAAAAGCAAACATGGACAAAATCATAAAAACCCAAAGAGCAATGGAAAGACAAATGTTGCACATAAGACTAATGGATAAAAAGAGAAACGAGTGGATAAGAGAGAAAACAAAAGTGAGGGATCTTAGACAAGAAGTTGCAAAATTGAAATGGAGATTTGCCGGACAATATAAGATAAATAGAAGACTGATGGAACAAAATTCTTATAAGTTGGAGACCATGGGAATATAAACGAAGCAGAGGAAAGCTCCAAATGAGATGGGCAGATGATATCAAGAAACACGTGGGCTCTAGGTGGATGACTGTAGCGACAGACAGAGAAGAATGGAAAAGGATTGGGGGCCTATGTCCAAAAATGGACTTTCTTCTTCTTTAAGTTCCATCTTCTATCGAAGGTTGGAATTGTAGGATTCCTTTGTAACACCAAAATTCAAAGGCGGCCAACTTATTCAGATGAACTTGTTTTAGTGTCCAAACTTGCAAACCATAAAGAAGAGTAGAGAACACGTAACATCGAAGCATTCTCAGGCGTAGTTCTAACCTTATATCTTGACAACAAAGAAACTTTTTAAGTTTAATAAATGATGTACGTGCTATTTCAATACGTGTATTAATTTCTTTGGTTTGGTTTACATCTGATGTTATCCATGTTCCAAAGTATTTATAGTTATTAACACTCTCAATTGCAGTATCTTCAATAGTCAATTGGATATTTGCATGTGCAGATTTAGTCATGATCATGCATTTAGTTTTCTTTAAATTTATCTTCAGTCCGTACTCATGACAGCGTTCATTAAGGCGTTGCATTACGTTCTGTAAATCATTGTTGTTATCCGTAATTATTACTGTATCGTCTGCAAAACGTAAGTTATTCAAAACTTCTCCATTGATAGATATACCTTCTATTGAGTCTGAGAGCGCTTCTTGAAATACCGCTTCACTGTAGACATTGAAAAGTAGTGGGGACAGCACGCAACCCTGGCGGACTCTTTTCTGTATTTTGATATTTTCGGTGTACTGGCTGTCAACTCTTACCTTGGCAGTTTGATTCCAATATAAATTAGATATAATTTTCAAATCACGACTGTCAATATTTTTGCTTTTTAATATATCTGCAAGCTTTTTATGTTGAACTTTATCAAGTGACTTTTCAAAGTCTACAAAATATGAGTACATATCCTGATTCATGTCCATGCATCTCTGAGCCAGCACATTCAAGCCGAACTAAGCTTCTTTGTACTTATACCATTTCTAAAGCCAAATTGTATGTCACTAATCTCATATTCAAGAGTTTTAACAATTCTGCTGTGAATTATTTTCAAAAATGTTTTAAGTGTGTGACTCATTAAAGCTATTGTTCTATGGTCTGAGCAAGTTGTTGAACTTGGTTTTTTGGGAATTGCTACAAAGGTTGATTGCAGCCATTGTCTGGGGATTGTGGCAGTCTGATATATTAGATTAAAGAGTTCAAACATTACATCAATAATATCTTCATCGATGAGTTTTAATAATTCGATGGGCACCTCATCTGGTCCAGTAGCTTTACCCTCTTTTGTGTTTTTGATGGCATAGATGACTTGTTCTCTTAATATTGGTGGTCCGGTATCCTCGGTGATTTCTAATGACAGTTCTTCTCTTTCATCATTAAATAGTTGTTGAATGTAATTGGTCCAGTGACATAATCTGTCCTTCATATCAGTAATAATATCCCCTTTGTCATTTTTAAGGATATTCGTTTTTGTACGCTTTCTAGAACCTGTCATTTCTTTGATTTTTTTTGTGTAAATTAAAGCTATCGTACTTTTTATCCAGATCTTCTATTTCCTTGCATCTGTCGGAGAGCCACCTCTCTTTTGCCTCTCGAATTTTCTTTCTGATGTTTCTCTGAATTTCTTTGTATTTATTCAGGTCTTTTGCTTTATGTTTTCTTCGTTCTTCCATGAGTTCAAGAATTTCTACTGTCATCCAAGGTTTTGTTTCTTCTTTAAGAGGTTTGAGGGTTTCTTTTCCAACTGACACAAGGGCATGTTGAATTTTTCCCCATTTTTGGTCAATAGTTAGAGTTTCTACATTATCTTCTTTGACTTTCCTTAAGCTCTCGTTTATTTTAAATTTGGTTTCCACATATGTGTTGTCTTGTTTGAGACGTCTTGTATCTATGATTTTCTTGGTGCTAGGGCTGTTGACCTTCTTTAGTTTCACTCTCATCGACAAAACAACCGGGTTATGGTCGGAGGATATGTTCGCTCCTGGATAAGTTTTAGATGATATTATAGAATTTCTATATATTTCTAGTTGACGATAATATAATCTATTTGATTTCTGACTATTTTGTTGTTATTGTCAGCTGGTGACCTCCATGTATATAGTCTACGTTTAGGAAGTTTGAACAAGGTATTTGTAATTATGAGTTCCTCATTGACACAGAAATCTACAAGCCTATCGCCATGTTCATTCCTTTCCCCGAGTCCATATCGCCCCGCGCAATTCTCCCCTTCTCCTTGGCCAACTTTAGCGTTCAAATCGCCCATTATAATATTTATATCTTGTCTTTTAGTTAGTCTTAAGGCATTGTCGATTTGTTCATAGAAGGCCTCTATGGTGTCTTCATCCTTGTCTGCAGTGGGTGCATATACTTGGATTATATTTATTTTACGTTTTAAATGAGAGTTTAGAGACAGCATTAACACTCGATCAGAGTAGGGAACAAAGTTACAGACAGCTTTCTGAGAATTCTTATCAACTATAATGCCAACTCCCCGTTTGTGCTTGGAATCGTTGTTTCCAGAATAATACATCGTTCCATTTCTGGTCTTACATTTTCCTGATTCAGGCCATTGTATATCGCTAAGGCCCAGTATATTAATTTTCATTCTGCACATTTCCGACACAGCATTATCCAGTTTGCCTGATTGGTATAAACTTCTTACGTTCTATGTTCCGATTTTCAAGGCTATAGAGTTATTTGCTTCACAGGGATTTACCTTGTTGACGACCAGAGAGGCCCTGTCGTCTAAATCTGATTGTCCTCCCCTGCCGGATCTTGGATTCCAAGCTCCATGATCATTAAGTAAATTATCCATTGGTGGGTCCATGATGATATTTTTTTTTTCTTTACTTCTTTTTACTAAGGATATCCTTACGGATCTTTAATGTGGTAGTCATCCCCTGGCTTTAAACATCTCAATGCCGTTGACTAATTTAGTTCTTCCGCCTTCGGAGTTAATTTCTATACTCCAGGGCAATGAAGTGCCCTACCACGTGTCGGTTCTTCCACCCTTAGCTGTTGACCAACAGGTGGGGGATTACTTATACCGGTAATCGTTCGGTTAATTTAGCAGCTCTAGTATCCAATAATATACCGATCCAGGATCATTTCCCTTACGCTCTATCTTGGTACTGATGCTACTGTCTGGCAGAGTAGGATATAGGAATGGAAACTTTGGTAATGGGAGATAATTATGGCTCACGTGGGCAGGGTCGCATCCCTGAAGTAGATCTATCTTCTACCGGGAACGTAAAAGAGTATCTACCCGCTACCGCGAAAAAATGGACCGAAGAAGGCTAATTAGATACATAGATACATTAGATAGCCTTTTCCAAGATTTGCCTCAAGACGAAAATCTGATCAATTGTGTACTTCTGCTTGCAGAAACCACAGTGATATCCCCCAACTATTTGTTCCGCATATGGTCTCAATCGATCATACACAATATTTGACAGTATTTTATATGCCACAGTTAGTAGCATTATTGCCAGGTATTTTATACATTGAAGCTGATCTCTCTTTTTATGTAATGGGATAATTATCCCGGTATTTCAGTCTTGAGGCAGTCGTTTATTATTTCATATATTCACTATTAGTTCGTGTATCGCATTCAATAGGAAGTCTCCGCCTGCCTTTATTAATTCTGTGCTAATGTTGTCTAATCCAGGTGACTTGTTGTTTTTCAGTCTGGTAACTGGTTCTTGCATTTTAGCTACTGAAGAGGGAGGGTTGTTTCTCTGGTATCTGTTTCTTCTTCTTCTTGTAGTTCCTTCTCCTATCGGAGCTGGACTATCATCACAGCTATCCGTACCTTATTGGCGGCTGCTCTAAAAAGATCTACTGAGCTGCAACTATACCACTCTCTTAGGTTTCTCAGCCAGGAAATTCTTCGTCTTCCTATGGATCTTTTACCTCTGATTTTACCTTGCATTATGAGCCTTAATATCTCATATTTCGCACATCTGGTAATGTGGTCTAAATATTCCAGCTTTCTTGTTTTGATGTGCTTTATGACCTCGCAATCCTTTTGTAGCCTTCTTAACACTTCTGCATTTGTAACTCGTTGGGTCCATGGTATTTTCAAAATCGTTCTATGGCACCACATCTCAAATGATTCCAACTTCTTTATATTATCCGCTTTTAGTGTCCAGCTTTCGATTCCATACAACAAAGTCGAGAGCACGTAGCATCTTAAGGCTCTTCTCCTCAGATCCAGAGAAAGGTCTCGATTGACAAACATTGTTTTCATTTTTATAAATGCTTGTCTTGCAATTTCAATGCGTGTCATTATTTCTCTACCTTGGTCATTGTTTTCATTTACCCAGGTTCCCAGATATTTCTAGGTATTCACTCTTTCTACTTGTTTTTTCTCGATGTATAGCCTTCCTACTGTATCCGTTTGATCCAATATAATTCCATCATATAGTGAATCTTCGTTTTTTTTTAATTTTTCTTTGAAGAATTCTGTCCATCTTTCTAGTATTTTACTCCGTTGAGTTACTTTATTTCCTTCTTTGTCACTGTACATCATTTTTCTTGGTTTAAATTCTTTTCTGCTTTTTTTAATTGTTAGGTAGAGTTTTCTGGTTTCTGATGGTTTATTTAGTTCTTTCATTTCTTGTAGTTCTTTTTCTATGTGTTCTCTTGCCATTCTGCGACGTATTTTCTTCTCTTTCCTCCTTAGCATTCTATTTTCCTCCTCTGTCGTTCGTGTTCTATGTCGTTGTTGTAGCCATTGATATGCATTGTTTGTCCTCTCTGTTATGTTACCCAGGGTTCTTTGGTCGCGTCTTGTATGATGTTTTTACACGCTTCCCATTCTCTATTTACAACCTTGTGCTTTTGTCTGTTTTCTAGCTTTCCTTTTATATATTCTTTGTATTTTGCCTTTTTGCTGTTGTCTACTAATTTTTTTATTTCATATTTTTTATTTTGGATCCCTTTTCTTTTTTAATGTTTGAGATTCTGACTCTTATTCTACTTTCCACTAGGTAGTGATCCGAGTCTGCATTTGCCCCTCGTCTGCTGCATACGTTTATTACGTCTGAGTTATGTCTAGAGTCAATAACACGATCGATCATGTTTACTGTAACCCTTTATGGAGATCTCCACGTTCACTTATGAATATTTTGTCGCTGGAAGCATGTGCTGGCAATGACCATGTTAAGGAAAGTTGCTAGATTTATTAGTCTGATGCCATTGTAATTGGAAACATCATGAAGGTTGTGCTTACCTATAGTTGGTAGATATTGTTGTTCTTTTCATATTTTTGCGTTGAGATCACCATATTTAATTTTGATGTCATTCTTTGGGCATGAATGGTATGCAGCTTCTAGTTCTTCAAAGAATTTTTCTTTGACATCGTCTTCCTTTTCATCTGTAGGGGCATGCACATTTCAGATGCTGTAATTAAAAAATGTTCCCCTTCGTTTCAGGATGCACATTTTAAAGTTTATAGCACGAAAGTCTCTTACGAGGTGTTTAACCTTTTTATTTACAATGAGCCAGTACCTAGTGCGTGGTCTTTAGCGTCGCAACTATAGAATATAATGTGGTGTCTTTTGTCAATGGTGCAAATCCCGGTCCATCTCATTTCCTGCAAAGCTGTTATATCTACGTCATATATATTCAGTTCACCGAGCAGATTTTGGAGAGCTCCCGATCTGTATAGGGATCGGATGCTCCATGTCGCGATTCTTAAATCATGTATCGTTTTCTCGCGCAGTCGTTGTCGTTTGATCAGTCCGGTTTTCTTTCCTTGAACATTCGTAACATGTGTGTTTTCTAGGATAGGATTGTTAGCCCCATGCCTAACACACTTTTCGGAGGACAATTTTTTCCTTCCTCGCTGGCCCTGACCCTACTTTTCACTGGGGTTGGTTACCCAATCTCCGGTAGTTTTGCTCAGGTTTGTGATAAAGTCACACTTATTGGAGATGAGAATGGGAAATGAGTAGGAGTGGCTAGATGTGTTATCAGGAAGCAACACCTTATATTGCGCGTCACTACTCCTTTAAACCCCGGAACAGTAATTTATTTGCCTTAAATCTTTGAATGTTTTTAACTAAAGTTTTATTTAAAATCCTTTATAAAAGGTATATAAGGGTTCTTAGAACCCATTCAGACATCGTTTGAGGGTCTACAACAAGCTCTATTGGGAGTTTTAGATTGCCATGCAGGATAACTGGTAAATACTTCTTAACATCACACAATCTTTTCAACAAAAATGTAATACATAATAACTTTTGAAACATTTTAAGGATTTTAGATAGTATTTTCTTATGGTTTTTTAACTAACTTTTGGACTCTGAATCCAAAAATAATCCCAGTTTTTGTCCATCACGTCAACTTTTAAGTTACAGGTTATGTCCAAAATTCATACAAATTGTGTACACCAAGAAAAATAAAGTACAAACTTACTAACTATACTGTTTATAAAAGCATTTACTGCAAGTTAAATCGTGTTCATCATCATCAATTAGCCTACGTCCACTGCTGAACGTAGGCTTCCCGTAAAATTTTCCACCCATTTCTATTATGAGCTTCTTGCATCCAGTTGGTGGTGATGCGCTTGATATCATCGGTCCATCTAGTCGGTGGTCGTCCTCTGCTTCGATATGCATCTTGCCTTGGTCGCCATTCCAGAATCTTTCTGGTCCATCTATCATCCGTTAACCTGGCAACATGTCCGGCCCAAGCCCTTTCAACTGCATCTGTGATTCCTGTTCTTCTTCTTATTTCTAGGTTTGGTACTCTTTATCTCTGATGGTAATACCTAATATTGATCTTTCCATAGCGCGTTGTGTAACTCTTATTTTATCTATTGTTCTTTTTGTCAGAGTCAGTGTTTCTGCACCATATGTAAGAACCGGTAAAACGCACTGGATAAAAACCTTTCTATTTAGACAAACGGGGATATTAGACTTAAAAATGTTATTCAATCTACCAAAGGCAGCCCATGTGAGACCTATCCTTCTTTGTATACCACTTGTCTGATTATCTCGGCCTAAGCGAATCTCATGGCCTAGATATTTGTAATCTATTACTTGGTCGATGCCATGGCTCTCAATCAGAATTTTACCGCTGACTACAAGGTTGGTCATAAATTTTGACTTTGAGGTGTTAATTTTAAGACCAATTGTTTTTGACACTTTATAGAGCGTGTGCAGTATTTTTGTAGCTTTATCAACTCTATCAGATATTAAAACGATGTCATCGGCAAATCTTAGGTGGTTCAGATCTTCCCCATTTATATTAATTCCCATATTATGCTCTCGTTCCATTTGCTTGAACATATATTCAAGAATAGCTTTAAACAATTTAGGAGAGATAGTACCACCCTGTCTAATTCCACGTTCTATTCGAAACTTCTTGGTATCTTTATGAAGGCGGACACAAGCTGTACCAGTTTCGTAAATACTTTTAATTAAGGTGATATATCGGTAGTCAATGCGGCAGTCAGCCAATGCTCGAAGCATTTTATGATGATCTATCGTATCGAACGCCTTTTTATTCGTAGATTAAAAAAGGCGTTCGATAAATCGTGTTAGCGAACGTTAATTACATATTTTACCTATTAAAACGAAAATTTTCGCTTATAGATTTTTCTGGAGTGTCCCATCTGCCAAGATACTATGCCTCCATGGACTTCAAATTTTTTATGTAATCTTTCACTCTGCTCACTGACTGCACAAATATTTTAATACGGAATATAAATAAAAACAGAAATAAGATGAGAAACAGTCTCATTCACTTCGCAAAATTTGAACGAATTATGTTATGAGACAAATTTGGAATCAACAGGTTTCAGGTCGAATCTTGGCAGTCAATTCGACTGTAAGCAATGTTTCTCACGAGGTCTGCTGTGTCACATACACAAAAACAGTGATACTTTGTAAATTTACGTTACTGCCCAAGGAGGCAACAGAGCATTTTTAAGTAGATACAAATGATCCATTAGTGCATGTGATGATATTGCAACAGATCAATAACTCTCTTGTTATGTTCATATCTTTCATTCAAACGAACTAAATGTCCTATCGGGACTGAGCGAAATAAATTTCCATTGTGGAGCAAAATACACTTCAAGCTCCGCCTTAAGCTATCCATAAAAAGTCGTCATTCACTATTATAGGCTAAAATTCTTAACTCTTTCATTAAACCACGTACATTATAACAATACACAAATCCACCCTCACTCCGAAAGTATCGTAAAAACGAACTTTCTCTTGATCAAAATTGTATTACCTCAGCTCCCGTTTAAAAAAAGTTTCTCTCACGCAGTAGTGATGCTAAGACCTATAAAGATTTTTTTTTGATAGACCTACATCTCGTACTCAACCATTCAACTGTTGCTGATCAAATCACATCTATCGGAGAAGGTTAGTGTCAGCCAATAGGGGAGTAATAGTGCGCGTTAAACTTATTTTAAACTTATATTGTAGCTTATTCTCGACGAAAATAGTAATTACACAAGAGAATAACTTCAAAATATCCTAGATGTCCTAAACAGATCATTGTTACAATTAAACATAAAAGAGCTCTAAATAGTACTCAGACTACTCAGTACTCATGGTTTATCAGATTTATAAATAAAAGTCCGCGTAACAAATATAAAATATTCAACTTACATAAAATTTGTATAGAAGAAAAACAAAGAAGTTTTTGCAGTTATTTACAGAAAGTTGTAAAGTCAAGAATGCTTGGTACAATAAAACTCGATTATTTTTTATCTTTTTATTTAGAAATAATTATTATTTATTTTAATATAATTATTTGCCTTTACTATTTTTATATTTATTTATACGTTCCGGAAATTTATTCAGCTTTTAGAATCCCCCTGTAATTTAATGGACCTATTTAGGTAATTAGTCAAACTATCTAATCCCCAAGCCCAAGCCGATGTTCATCCAACTCATTCTTTTGTCCTTTCGCGAAGAAAGAAAGAAGTAGATTAGTCAGTGGTGGGAGGATCATCACGCCACCGAGTTGGCAAATAATATCGCGGTTTGATCGCCGTTGCGTATGATCTGATGCAAGCGGTGTGTGTATACCGTGCATTTACGAATAGAGATGGACAATCCGGAAAGGTTTAAATAATAATTGCGTTCGTTACTTTTTATTATATAGTTATCTGTCATGAATCATAATGTATTTGTTATAACTACGTGATTTGGAATTTGAACCATTATTTAACTACATAATAATATATTAAAATAGTCAATATAAGTAAACAGAGAATTTATACTTCAGGTCTTGTCAATATTGTAATAAGTACACTCTGGGCCAAAATTAACCGGCCACCTTAAAAATGGGTAATTTTTGATTTCTTATATCTCCTAAACCTGTTGTCCGATTTAAGTGATGTTTTTAATATGTTATAGCCTTATTCCTTGTCAATATCT